TTCAAATTTCTGCAGAAGGTGTCTATGATGAGGAAACAGGAAATCTCTGTATGGTAGGGTGTACAAAGCTGAGTAAAGATGGTCAGAGATCAAAAACTGAATCAATTGACTGTGAGGTGGTTGTGAAATTCCAATACCAACCGATGAATTCAAAAAATGGGGGTCAAATCAAGGGAACCATTAAGAGCACGAGGAAGGAAACCGACCCTCTTTACTTCGCACAATTGGAAGTGTCTGCATCGACATACTACACCGAGGATGCGAGGAATTCAATATGGCGAATGGATTTGGAAATCGCCATGGTTTTGATCTCCAACACGCTCGCTTGTGTCTTTGTGGTGTTACAAATCTTTTACGTGAGGAAAAACCCGGGATTGCTTCCCCTTGCGTCTCTTGTCATGCTTGTGATCCTTGTTTTCGGGCACATGATTCCACTTGTGTTGAACTTTGAGACTCTCTTCTTGGGAAAACGCGATAGGCGTAGACAATTGCTCAGGAGTGGTGGATGGTTTGAAGTTAATGAGGTGATGGTGAGAATTGTCACAATGGCGGCTTTCTTGTTGCAATTCCGACTACTCCAATTGACATGGTCTGCGCGATTGGGAGGCGAAAAAAACCAAAAGGCCTCGTGGGTTGCAGAAAAAAAGGCTCTATTTGTGTCAACACCATTATACATAGTCGGGTTTTTGGTTGCATTGTTTCTCAATTTGAGGAACAATAAGTCCGACAATTCAATGTATTCTTCCTATGATGTTGCTGCTACTACTGTTGTACATCAACAAAATTCTCTATGGGGGGATCTAAAATCTTATGGTGGTTTGGTCCTTGATGGGTTCCTCTTCCCTCAAATCCTCCTCAACATGTTCCGAATTTCAGGCGAAAAACCCCTTTCGCGCTCGTTCTACATTGGAACAACATTTGTTCGCTTGTTACCACACGCGTACGATCTTTACAGGGCTCACAACTATGCTCGCAAACAATTTGAAGAGTCATATATCTATGCAAACCCGAGCGCAGATTATTATTCCACGGCTTGGGATGTCGGTATTACTTGTGGGGGTGTAGCATTCGCAATCATCATTTACTTGCAGCAGCGATTTGGGGGCCGGTTTTTCCTTCCCCGGAGATTTAGGGAGGCAGAAGCAGTGTATGAGAAGGTGCCTGTGGTAAGCAGTGAGTAAATTGTTAGAGGAAATAAGCTTTCAAAATAATTGTTTGTTTTGCAATTATGGGTTTTGTGTGTTCTAACCTTGTGTAAGTTTGTGCTAAGCTATCTCTGTCTATGTATCTTGAATAAGAAAAAATGATATCTCGTGTATCTAGTTGCAGTAAGGTGCAGAAAAAATGATATCTTGTGTATCTGGTTGCAGAAAATATTTTCTTAAGCAAAACTTTTCCGGGAAAATATCTTATGCAGAAAATGTTTTTAATTTTTTTTCCAATATCAAGAATTGTACTTGAAGGATTATCACTATGATTCCTTTGAAATCTAAAGAAATAATTTCATAGATTTACATTGCTGAGTGAAGGAATGTGAATAATGGAAGAGAAAATTGTGCAAGGAAAAGAATAGTTAATGAAAGAGCAGAATTAGATTAGGTTCATTTGATTAGATTTTCCATTTCACTATGCTATCGACATTAACATTTACTAACGAGATAGTATGAATTATTTGATGAGAGTGAGAAAATCATGCCCAATGAACAACAACAATCCTGTTAAAAGAAAGGGGGAGAGATATCCCGAGGCGAAGTCTTATGACATGAGGCTTCACAACATGAGAATCAAAGATTCCAAGGGGAAAAATGCTTGGGGTACTGCATATCCCGTGTTGGTGGGGGATGAAAGTTATGAAGACAATTCCATGGTCGTGTTCAGCTCAGTGCGCGATGAGTCTGAAATGGAGGCAAAGAGAAGCTATACTGGCCCATTGAATATAAGCTATGCCATAAGTATTTATGGCATTTCATCCCTTACTAATCTTGCCTCCAATCCACTCAACATACTTCAAATTTCTGCAGAAGGTGTCTATGATGAGGAAACAGGAAATCTCTGTATGGTAGGGTGTACAAAGCTGAGTAAAGATGGTCAGAGATCAAAAACTGAATCAATTGACTGTGAGGTGGTTGTGAAATTCCAATACCAACCGATGAATTCAAAAAATGGGGGTCAAATCAAGGGAACCATTCAGAGCACGAGGAAGGAAACCGACCCTCTTTACTTCGCACAATTGGAAGTGTCTGCATCGACATACTACACCGAGGATGCGAGGAATTCAATATGGCGAATGGATTTGGAAATCGCCATGGTTTTGATCTCCAACACGCTCGCTTGTGTCTTCGTGGTGTTACAAATCTTTTACGTGAGGAAAAACCCGGGATTGCTTCCCCTTGCGTCTCTTGTCATGCTTGTGATCCTTGTTTTCGGGCACATGATTCCACTTGTGTTGAACTTTGAGACCCTCTTCTTGGAAAAACGCGATAGGCGTAGGCAATTGCTCAGGAGTGGTGGATGGTTTGAAGTTAATGAGGTGATGGTGAGAATTGTCACAATGGCGGCTTTCTTGTTGCAATTCCGACTACTCCAATTGACATGGTCTGCGCGATTGGGAGGCGAAAAAAACCAAAAGGCCTCGTGGGTTGCAGAAAAAAAGGCTCTATTTGTGTCAATACCATTATACATAGTCGGGTTTTTGGTTGCATTGTTTCTCAATTTGAGGAACAATAAGTCCGACAATTCAATGTATTCTTCCTATGATGTTGCTGCTACTACTGTTGTACATCAACAAAATTCTCTATGGGGGGATCTAAAATCTTATGGTGGTTTGGTCCTTGATGGGTTCCTCTTCCCTCAAATCCTCCTCAACATGTTCCGAATTTCAGGCGAAAAACCCCTTTCGCGCTCATTCTACATTGGAACAACATTTGTTCGCTTGTTACCACACGCGTACGATCTTTACAGGGCTCACAACTACGCTCGCGAACAATTTGAAGAGTCATATATCTATGCAAACCCGAGCGCAGATTATTATTCCACGGCTTGGGATGTCGGTATTTCTTGTGGGGGTGTAGCATTCGCAATCATCATTTACTTGCAGCAGCGATTTGGGGGCCGGTTTTTCCTTCCCCGGAAATTTAGGGAGGCAGAAGCAGTGTATGAGAAGGTGCCTGTGGTAAGCAGTGAATAAATTGTTAGAGGAAATAAGCTTTTAAAATATTTGTTTGTTTTGCAATTATAGGTTTTGTGTGTTCTAACCTTGTAAGTTTGTGCTAAGCTATCTCTGTCTATGTATCTTGAATAAGAAAAAATGATATCTCGTGTATCTAGTTGCAGAAAAAATGATATCTCGTGTATCTAGTTGCAGAAAATATTTTCTTAAGCAAAACTTTTCCGGTAAAATATCTTCTGCAGAAAATGTTTTTAATTTTTTTTCCAATATCAAGAATTGTACATGAAGGATTATCACTATGATTCCTTTGAAATCTAAAGAAATAATTGCATAGATTTACATTGCGGAGTGAAGGAATGTGAATAAGGGAAGAGAAAATTGTGCAAGGCAAAGAATAGTTAATGAAAGAACAGAATTAGATTAGGTTCATTTGATTAGATTTTCCATTTCACTATGCTATCGACATTAACATTTACTAATGAGATAGTATGAATTATTTGATGAGATTAGGGGAGATTCTCTCCTAATCTATTATGATTTGTTTGGATTATCATTTTAATTCATGGTATAAATTAACACTATAAATACCTATTTGACAAAATGCCATCAACCAACCAATTTTAGTTAAAGAAGTTAATTTGTATAAACTACTCTGTAGGTTTTTAAATATTGATGGATACACTACTCTCTAGGTTTTTAAATATCAATGGATACATATTGAAATTTTAAACTATATACGATACAGAGATACTATTTAGACCTTATTCTTTATGGAATGAATCTTCAATTCCCGAATGCCACGACAACGTACATAGATGAGAATCAAAGAGCCAAAGAAATCAAATCAAGCATACTCTCACTACTTCCTAGTGACAGAAATTGGATATCACTTTCATATGTACCCAGGCTTATGGTACAACACAAACGGCCTAAAATCAGTCAAGCTAGTCCAGCAACAATTTAAACCTAGACCGACTGATGTCCTCCTCAGCACGATCCCAAAATGGGGCACAACATGGCTCAAGGCCTTGTGTTTTGCCATAGTGAACCGAAACCAATTTCAATACCTTACCCACCCTTTGCTAACCACAAGCCCTCGTGAATGTGTGCCATTCTTGGAAATGTATGCTGACCAAAACCCGAAAAACCCAATTTTAGATCTTCCCTTGGTGGCCACACACATTCCTTACACCTATCTACCAGAGTTAATATCGACTTCCATTGTAAAATTGTTTACATGATTCAAAATCCAAAAGATGCGTTTGTTTCTCTGGGCACTTCATCAATAAAATGACACGGACGAACGTTCAAGCATTGTCCTTAGATGAGATGTTTGAACTTTTTTTCCAAAGGGCTCTCGCTATATGAACCCTTTTGGGACTATGTGATGGGGTATTCGAAAGAGCATAGACTTGCCTGAAATATATATATATATATTTTTTAAAAGTTTGAGGATATGAAGACGAGACCGATGATATGGGTAACGAAATTGGCCATATCAAGTTGTGTAATTTTTGGTAAAAATTGGGCCGACCTGCGAAGATGGACTTTATGGCCCAAAGTACGAAGGACTGGATAAAAAGGCCCAATGGAAATGTAAAAGTTACTCCGGTCCAAGAATAAGAAAGTTACTCCGGTTTAAGAATGATAAAGTTACTTCGGCCCAGAAGAGATGCTGAGTTACTTCGGTCCGTGCAACTTTTCTAGTTAGGCCGGTCTCGGAGATAGTCCGGTCATGATGTGTTCTGGGTAGGTCGGTCGGAATGTTTCTACTCGGTAGATCGGTCCAAACACACCATGGTTCGTGCATGAGAGAACCAAAATATGGAGTAGCAAGAAGAAGAACCGAACTACTGTTAGTACGACCTACTCTATGGCTCGGTATAGCCAGGTTTATCTTGGTCGTATGACAGTTCGGCCATGGTGAAAACCATCCCACTTGGTTTAAGCAGTGGGGGGGGTGTAAAAGGATAAGCATTATCCTACAGGAGTATGAATCCTAGAAGGACTCTACATGGAGGAGTAAAAGTCCTACTAGGATTGTGCCACTCAAAACCTATAAAAGCTCAGAAGCTTCACCTTGGAGGAGGTAACATAACACAACATACAATTTTGCCGACTGAATACGTTGAGCTTTGTCTATTTGTCAAGTTTTCTGACTTAGGCATCGGAGAGGTTTCCGGCACACACCTGCCGGCTAGCTCACGATTGTGTTTTCAGGTGACAAAGCGACGTCGTACGGAGGAGCGTGGACTTAGTCAACAGGATTATACGAGGAGAATTATTTCTTCCCCGTACAGAAGACGAGACCGATGATATGGGTAACGAAATTGGCCATATCAAGTTGTGTAGTTTACAGAATTGGCCATGGGCTAAGGTCATTGACGTATCCGCCTTAGGTCCCAAAAAATTGATCCAAAATAGGTTCTTCAAATTTAGAAAAATATTATAGTATATTACAAATATAAATAGATCTAAATTATGTTTGTTATTTTAGGACCAATCTAAAGGACCCTAAAATGTTATATTGAGCCCATATTTGTTTATAAGTATGGTTTGGCCCAATTGAAATTAAAATATATGCAAAATATTACAAAATGTTAGTGGCCTAAAATAGGGCCCCTAATTTTTTTTTTTTATTTTCTTTCTTTATCAGATTTTAGTAGAATAAATAATTAATTCAATCTCAATCACATTCATACACAACATATTCAAGAAACAACAATGCAACTACACTCATAAATAACATATTCAATAAACAATAATTAATTCAATACATATCCAATACATTTTAATTGAATAAAGCTTTCATAATTTTGATAACTTTTTTTTTTGGTATGAATACATTTTGATATCTATTTTGATATCAATCGACGGTAATAATACTAAATAGGATGATTTTTTTTTTAATTTGTAAATATAGGTCTCTGTTTTTGTTTCGCCTTAGGCCCTGAAAACTCAGGCCGACCTTGGGAGTTTTTTCAATTTGAGCAATTTGGAGGTGAATAAAACCTGAAGACGAAAAATATAAGTGAATTAGTGATTGAAAATCGAGTGTATTTTAGGCAAGGTGAGGTAGGAGATTGGAAGAACCATATGACAGCTGAGATGGCGGCAAATTGATCAAATCACAATGGAGAAGTTTGAGGGAACTGGTTTAATATTTTGGCAGCCTCTAGAACTCTAGATTGTGCGTGTATATATATATTTTTGAATAATCGGGTATTTAAGCCAGTTTATTCTAGATTGTGCATTGCTATTATGTTAGGCTAAGAATGCAATTTATTTATTTTTTAAGTGAGATATACATATTCATATGTGGTTATGCTTATGAATGTTTTGCCCTACCTGGTGGTTATACTCACTATAATACCACAATATAGAAATTAGGGTTAATTTCACCTTTATTTTGTAAATTATTACCAGTTTTTTTGTTCATATCTAAATTCTTAATTTGTCTATTTAGTTCCTGAAGTTTTATCCAGGTGGTCCAATTGGAGATAATTATACAAATTAATAATTATTATATTCTAATTTGATGGCCAAAAAGATAATTTTATAATTAGGACAACTTAAATCATACAAACAAACACCCTTTAAATTGATTGTAGGGGGTAAGTTGTTGAAAATAATAATAAAAAAATAACTATTTTGTTGTATGATTTAAATTGTTCAAATTCTAAAATAACATATATATATATATATATATATTTATATCAAATTAGGCTTCAATAAAAATCGATTTGTATAATTGTCTCCAATTCAATCATATGGATAGAAATTAGAAACTTTAACGGCTAAATAGAAAAAATGGATAGTTTATGAATGAAATTAAAAAAAAAAATAGAAAACAAAAGTGAAATTAACCCTATAAAATTAATATTTGCCTATACACATAAATTCTACCTAGACACGGTTATATATATTTATGAGTTATACAAATAAAAAATTCCTACATAATTTTTATATAGAATAATATGATTTAGGTCTCGTTTGGTAACACTCACTTTTAGTCTGAAAGCCAAAAATTCAACAAAAAATCTCAAAAATAAAATAGCTTTCAACACATACAAAAAAAGTTAAAAATTGATTTTCATTCATTTGATTTTTTACACATCTTTTTACAAAACATTAAAAAATTATTCAAAAATATATTAATTTTTTAACTCAAATTTTAGCCCAAAAAACCATAAAAACCCACACAAAAAAGTAACTTCCTAAACACCCACCATTCACTCTCAAACAAAATAACCAAAAAGATGATATTTATTTATCAAGATGACATTGTCACGTTGTTATTGTGATTTTTTTTTTTTGGGTATAAATTTTATGTATGAGTAATACTTTTTGTATTGATAGTTTGTTTGGAAATTGACTGTTTTAGTTAAATTTTTAATTTTTACGAAAAGATATGTAAAAAAATAGAGAGAATGATGTGATAATTTAATTTGACTTTTTGAAGGACTTATTCAAAAAAACTACTTCCCAAATAACTCCTAATGCTAGAAAATACCCAAAAAAAAAAAAAAAAAAAAATCTATCTATCTATCTTCTATCTTCTATCCTTCATATAAAGTGATAGAAATTATAACTTTAACGACTAAATAGAAAAAATGGATAGTTCATGAATGAAATTTAAAAAAAAGAAAAGAAAATAAAAGTGAAATTAACCCTATAAAATTAATATTTGCCTATATACATAAATTCTACCTAGACACGGTTATATATATATATATATATTTATGAGTAATTATATACAAATAAAAAATTCCTACATAATTTTTATATAGAATAATATGATTTAGGTCTCATTTGGCAACACTCACTTTTAGTCTAAAAGGCAAAAATTTAACAAAAAATCTCAAAAATAAAATAGTTTTCAACTCATACCAAAAAGGTTATAAATTGATTTTCATTCATTTGATTTTTTCCACATCTTTTTACAAAACATTAAAAAATTATTCAAAAATATATTAATTTTTTAACTCAAATTTTAGCCCAAAAAAACATAAAAACCCACACAAAAAAAGTCACTTCCTAAACCCCCGCCATTTACTCTCAAACAAAATAACCAAAAAGATGATATTTATTTATCAAGATGACATTGTCACGTTGTTATTGAGTTTTTTTTTGGTATAAATTTTATGTATGAGTAATACTTTTTGTATTGATAGTTTGTTTAGAAATTGACTGTTTTAGTTAAATTTTTAATTTTTTATAAAAAGATATG